GCAAGACTATTAATGTTGTTTCAGACAGAGCTGACTTACAATTGTTTTGGAGTTTAGTCTAACTTGATAATTAGCCCTCCGGAAAAAAACGTAGTACTTGTGATAATGGAGTTTGATTGAAGTGGGCTTTTGAACTTTGAGTGTGTCATGGCTGATATTGGGAGTACCGGAGTACATACATACTCATTGGGTTCAATTATGAAATGGTTTTAGACTCATTGGATTTCTCAAAAAGATTTCTTCTTCTGTAGAAACCTTTCAAAATTCAACTTTTTCTTCTGTAGAAACCTTTCAAAATTCAACTTTTTCTATCCAAACGGGATGGTTTGGTATCCCATTGTTAAAAATCTGGTCCACCTTGAATCGGTTCATCGAACCATGCACTATAATCTCAGTTTAGTCACTTGCAACTACGTCGCTAACTAATAGGACCGTTCTTAGAGTTGTGGAAGCTAGTACGAATGAAAAATAAATTTTATATATGTACATAAAGTTTTTAAAACCAATTAAATAAATCTGTGTTCCGTATACATATCATCGGCAGTTTTTGGAACTACTAAATATGTTTGTTTCCAAAAATATCACAAACGCAAAATATAATTTTAAAAAATTTATAATTTAAATATTCGGGTTTGGGTATAGAAATTAATTTGGGAGTTTAAAATTCCGTTTTAGTCTTATGGTATTTTGGGTAGAAAAGTTTTATTGATGTTTTTAGAAGGAAACAAAAACTAAGGATCGTGTATGTTTAGAGTATAAACTTATTTCTAAGGTATTTTTGAGAATTGTTCATTATATATTCAGTGACCAAAACACGTAATCTAGTGGCTTATGCCGCCAGACTGTCACTGTGTCAATGACAAGGAACAAACACGCATGTAAATCACTATTTCTTTGGATATTTTTTTATTACTAAGTTTAGTATTTGCAGTGATGTTATTTTCTATAAATTTAAATTTACAATAATTTATCATTTTTATTATTAGAAGTTCAATGAAAACTCTATTCTCCTCATTTATATATATATATATATATTAAAATTATATAAATAAGAAAAATATTGATAATAAGCCAATTAATCAATATTTAAAAAATCATAATATAAATTATAGTTATACTTATATCACATATGGCCTTTTTAATATATAATACCATTGTTATCAAATATTTTGAAATTTAATGAACTTCGTATTATAATTTCTTTTCTTAAAATATAGATTTTGTTTGTATCTTTAGTTGGTTAAAGTAATTTCAAACTAAACGATAATAAAGATTATCTATTTGGTTTACTTTCATCCACCAAAAAAAAGAATCGACCAATAAGAAGAAACAATATAAATCTTCTCTAAGTAATTTAAGTTCTGCTTTAGGTTTAAAATTTTCTATATATAATTGGTTCACCCACAATACATTGTATACAAGTACATGTCTCTAATATATTTGAAGTATATAAAATTATAAATTACCTTTTAACAAATATTGTTACCAACTCCAATAGTAAATACCATATTTCAATTTCTTTTCCTTTTATGAATTATTTGTATGTATTTTTTTTTGTTTAACCTTATACCAAATTTTTTCTATATAAAGTGCTGGCCTAGCTTGTGAATTAACAAAAAACAAATCTACTTTATTTTTGTGAAGAACAAAATGGAGTATGATGGTGGTGGAAGCTCAGGCAATGAACAGTATATTTCTGTAAACTCCAAGAATGAAGAGAAGAGGAATACTCGCCACACTCCTCAACAGATCGAGAAACTTGATGCGTAAATTTTCAATCAATTGTT